ATTTTTGCCATCGTGTAGTAAAGTGTATATTTTCGAGGACTCAAAAAAATTGTTCGTCTTGTTAGGTTCCATTGAGTTCAGCGGTAAGCAGTCAAATTCTAGGCGAGTTTCGCTCACTGACAGACGTCTGTGACGTGCTTTCGTCGCTCGACATTGCAATCGGTTTCCTTTCCTCGACCGGTGGATCACCTGAAAAGCTGCTAAAAGACTACCTTCAACATGTACTACGCATGCCTCAACAAAATAGTCTTCGCAGTCTTAAGGTAAGCATTCAATTTAACCGTGCAAATTCAACTGCTTTGATAGATAGATGTTTATCCACAGACCTTTTAGACCCTATGGGTAACGAAAAGTTTTTACCTTGCGCTATGTTTCTTGCTACGTGTTTTACCTTACAAAAAGCGAAATAATAAGAAAGATAAAAGCTTAAAACAAGAAAAGGGAGAACTCTTGTAAAAAATACGGAAATGTGCAAATGTATCATTTTGTGTCAGGAATCGAAAATTGTCTTCCAACTTGGAAATATCTTAAATATTTTAAATACAGTAAACGTGTACAGACCCAGAAATAGTTAACTGCCAATAGTGATTTCTAACGGGTTTTATAGTATATTAATTTTGCAGTCTGTTACTATATAAAAGTAAACGTGATCACCTTTTCATGTTAGCACGTTACGCTCTAATTAAACTGTACCTTAAGAACAGCTTTTTTTCTGCTCTGCTTCTGTTTAGGCGCAGCAGTGTTGTCAGTTGCGACACGTTCTCTCCTTCTGGCGACTGTTGACATTAGAGAGAGCAAGGATTTTAATGAGGCGGGGAGAGGTAAGGAACGTTATCCAAGCGGGTAATATCATATCAAAATCATTTTTTCATCGTATTTATTACATAATCATATCTTTATTGATAAGGACGCAATTTCTGCACTTAAGAACTAATAAATGTTATGCTCACGAAATAGAATAATTCAGGCTATTTGTATTTTACAGACAATTTAACATAAATAATATCCGAGCATGTGGATAAAGCGCATACGAGCGAAGAACTTCAAGATTTTAATGACCAGGAGTCTGTCATATAGAAAAAAGGCTAGGCTCGGAGTTAGAAGTGGCGTTGGTCTTTAATCTCGTTCCCTTGTAGAAGTCATTTTGATACATTATTCGCGGAGGTGTTGCTCAGAGTGCTTCCCTTTCTCTGTCTCTTCCAGAGAACTGTTGTGTAGTGTTGACAACTGAAGGCACATTTTCGGTTTTGAATTCATGGAAAAATAGCGTAGATCTCCCGGTCACTTTATACCTGATCCGTCTTCGTGTTTTACGTAGGATCCGTTCGAACAGATTCCAGACACGTACAAGCAGGTCATGCCACAAATACTAATGATGAAGTTTAGCAATAGCATGAGGAGGATTGACTCGGATCGATTCGTGCCCGAGGTCTTAGAATTGATCTTACTTAACCTCAGGGGAGAGGCGGTACCAGGCGAAGAAGACATGAGGTAAGATTTCTAGATCTCAAATTTCAAGAATCCTTTGCTTGAAATTCGCTTGTTTTAGCCCTTTAACTGGGCACGACCCGTCAAAAACCTCCCTTCTCCTTTCGCTCAGTTGTTATTATCGCACACGTTCACTAACTAAACGCGTGGAATACAAAATGTAGGTTACCTCACTACATGTGTCTTTGTTAGGCTGCTCTCAGATATTTTTTTATTTCTATGGATATCAAATTCAAATAAGGGAAGTGAGATAACCAAAATTTCACCTCAATTTTGAAACCCTGTATCTCCAAAAAATGACGCGTTGTTGAAGTAGGTCTTTAACTCCACAAATGGGTCTTCACACCTCAAAGTACGCCATTTCATAGCTATCAGAAAACACCAGGATGGCCGCGAATTCAAGTAAATCTTGTCGGCCCCCTATACGACTCGCAACTAGCGATATGTGTACAGAGTGTTTGTCTCTCCTTTGTTAAAACACCTTCCCAAATACATCATTTTTGAAAAGTACTGCAATTTTGACTCGAGAGTTGGTCTGTGTTCTTTGTTGCTTACTGGTGTCTTTTTACCGGTTAGAAAGCAGATTTATAAAGATATCGAGGTTCATTTTTTAAAACGACTGTAAGTTGCACTTTTTATCATTTTCGCGCTAAAATAACTAACTTGGGACCTTGGGAGACGGCTTGAAAAGCGTGTAAAGGTCTTCTCTGGTTCTTCCAACATCCCGCGCGGGTCATTAATAGTGCGGTCGAATACTTTCCAGTATTGTGATACATTACAGCCGTTTATCCCTTCCTTTAGCTTGAAAGACTTTATCGAATGGCATCTTGACAATAAGGGACATGAACCAGTTACTGGACTGGATGAACTACCAACTGAAGTGAAGCTGAAGCACGTGATAAACGCATGGGGAACTTCTGTTGAACTGTGGGACAGCTATCTGGACAAGAGGGATGCTGCTTCAGCGTAAAACTGCTGCTATGTGTTTTGTCCCAGATTTTTTCCCTCTTTGTTCAACGTCCCCAGACTTAACGTCACTTTTTCTCTTAAATTGAACTTTCCTCCAGTAATATTTCAAGTTCACTTTTAGATTTGAGCATGAAAAATGAAATGAAACAACTTAGCGGCTGAAATAACATAAAAGTATCCGAAGAGGGAGATTGGTTATTTTATGAAACAACTATTGTGGCATCTTCTTTCAATTGCTTCGTCTACGTTTAGACATTTAGAATAATTTTGGCTTTATACTTCTTAAATTTTAGTTTTCAATAGCACGAGTTGGCTTGCTTTATTGATTATTATGCGATTCAATCTGATAATGACTATACGTCATATTTTTCAACTTCTGTAGCTTAATATTAGCATAGAAATGTTAGTTCCCACTATAAGCGAGCATTGCAAAAAAATTTAGAAACGTAAAATGTGTATGTTGGTACATGTTATAAGTATAGGTAATAAAACTTTGTGCACATGGATGTTTAAAGATTACATTTGATTAAAAACAATTTTAAAAAAAATTGGAGTTTGAAATAGTAGTTTTATCGCTATAGTAGCGCTAATTTTTTTCTCACAATGAAATTAATTTAAATGAGCGTAAAGCGAGGATATCTCCAGATAAAAAGAAAACTAAAAAAGACAAATTGCAACTAAAACTTTGTTCATCGTCCACGGTTAATCGTGGTAACCTTAAAACTCGAAAATAATTTGCATTTTTATTTGTCCAGATGATTTCGATCGCAATTTAGTGTAAATAAGCACTACGGGCTCGTGCAAATTGTAGTCTTTGAGAAAATTACAAGAAAAAAGCTTCACAGAAAGTCAAGACAGACGGAATTTTGACAGCACGTGCGCCTTTTTTTTTTGTTACACCTGTGTTACAAGTTTGCACTAATGTTACATGAAAATTGCAATCGTTTTCAGCCAATCAGGTGCGCTTAATTTTTTCACGTATATGATTATTCATGGTATAGCTGCAAGAGACTTTCTTACCTTTTTCTTGCTTCGGTGCTTTTACAGGCTAAGATTATTAGAAGGGTTTTTCTTAATTGTTTTGGCAATTGGCACGGTCCTATGCAGCTTCCAACTTTCTTTCCTTTAATCCGGCTCGCCCCTCCTGGCCCCGGCCTCTGTCTCCTGAAAGCAAACGCAAACTGGACCAGTCAATTCAATGGATCACGTCGGCATCTCCATTTACACCCGCTAACCTCACAGAAGTAGAGACTTCCATGATTAAACACAGGTAAACGCTCACTAAACACAAGAACTTGTTCCAAATATCACTATCTTGGGATATTCGTGTAAACTTCTCCCGGAAACTGGCAACGATGAAATCTTATTCGTGAGACTTGGGCCTTCGATAGATACTCTATACGTCACGATGGACGACAGCTTTTCTTGTCGCTCAGAGCGGAATACAAGCTGAACCTACAATCCGCGACAAATTAGTCTTCTCTTTGCCATTTAGACTGCAATTTCATGGAGTGGAATTCGAATTTTATCCCTAAAGCCCTATCTTCTAAACCTCTTTCCCCATTGTCCAAGTGTTAATTCGATTTTAAAGCGTATAAGTCGGACTACATTCAAATCTATGGGGGTGGGAAGAGCAGCTCACTGTCAGAGAGAGTTCTGATCGGGTGAACAATATGAATAGTAGTAGGTAAAATCTTATGTCAAATCAAAGCCTAGGCACGAGTATATAGGGAATAAACCAGGTTTTCCTTTTAACATATTCCCTCGGGTCACCAGCTTTTTATAACCATCTTGTTCTTTGGGAATTTCAATTCTGCTGTTTTTGTCTAACAATTTTAAAGAATATCCTGGTGGATGGTTTCTCTCCCTTTCGAAGTTTTATTGGTGGAGGGTCATTACCATTATATTTTTCACCTATAAACAAACAGACGTGTAATTTCGGGGTTGGGGTGGGGGAAAGAGGAAGTATGGTTACACGTCGTGAGATGTTTAGCCTCCGATCTCTAATCGCTTTGGCCCAGGCTCCACATACTGAACGAATAACTACCTCACGCAGAACACATGCGTGAGGGCATGTGCAATGGAGGTCAGCTTTCAATCAAAGTGATATCGGAATGTGCCGGTATGTATGCGCGCTAAACCAACTCGGAAAACATATCGCTTTGGCAAACACTACTTTTGAAACTCGCAAAAATGCACGCGGAAAAACGAAGGGGAAACTAAACCGTCTATAATTTGGCCATGCCATTCCTTTATTAGCTATGCTATCCTGCAGCTGATCCTTAGACCAGCTTTTTATTTGCTGATCTATTTGACATCCTTGTATTTTTTGGTGGTGACGGCCGCTCATAAGAGCGCCAAAACAGGGGCCTAAGAGTAGGGCGTGCGTTCTGAATCACATCCTGTTCGACCCCGTTTCATTGTGTCTTAGTGGTTTTGTTATTATTATTATTTTTTTTTTTTAACCTTACATTTGTCCCATAAAATTGCACTTCCTATGCGCATGGAATTTTTGTAAATAACCTGCTTCACCTGAATTGTGACAGACATTCGTCATAGATCAACGATCCAAACAAGGAAACAAACCCGGGAACTGGGGAGAGTTAACATTCCAATATGGCGAACTTGGAACAAGGTGAATACAACTCGCTTTTGTACGGCGAAATGACCTATTTAGAGTCACGTCACCTGTATTTTCAACACATTACGAACTCTCCTTTATTTCAGCGCCAGTCTTCGCAGAGCCCAAACGAGAAATTTTGAATCGTAATGATGTCGTAAAGTGGGAAAAGTCACAGGTGAGGAAAAGATCTTTCGCTTCGCAAGCCCCGTTTGCTCAACAGCTGTTCGTACCTACTGATTTCCCGCTACCAAAATGCATTATACTCTAACAGGAAGGCTTCTCGATATGCACAGGCCTTTGTTAGAAATTGCCATGGGAGTGACAAACGAGTGGAGCGTTGCTACCTTTTTTTCGGTCCCTCCTACACTTTGCCCGCACGTGGCTACTTTATGTGTCTTAGTCTCAAGCTGCTCGTCATAAAGCTGATTTTTATTCAATCTGGTCTTCATATTTTTGGATTTCAAATATGCTTATGTTTGTGCAAACAGGCATACAGTGATTACCTTGGATTTATCCTCACTTTGAACGATGCTGTTAAAGGGAAAAAAATGTCGGTCGACTGTTCAACATCAGAGGTAAAATACGAAAATACTAAAATAATTCTAATTGCAAGTACCATTTATCTCTAAGCAGCCAAAGAGACAAAATCCAGTGTCAAGAGTTAAATTTCCAACCATTTTTTGGTATACTGGAAAAATAAACTAATTTTTTATTATCTGTATGGTATATAGTTTAACAATCATTCACCTCAGTATCGTTGAAAGTGGTGGCTAAAACTTTCTTTCAAATACTATTAGCTGAAGCTTACTTTTTGCATTCAATTTAGGCATATTTTGTTAGAGAGCAGTAACCAAGATGACACAGTTTGGTGGATTAAAAAATGATTATAAGACAGTTACTATAATTTTGTTTATATTCAAAGTATTGATTAAAAGAGATTTCTCTGGAATCTTAGCTTTATTCATTTGATTAAAGGCTTTAATGAAACTGATCACTATGCTTGAAACCATGGACACTTGGATTGATGAAACCCCACCTATTGACCAGCCACAACGATTTGGAAACAAAGCCTTCAGAACATGGTGCAGTAGACTTGAAGAGGTAAGAGTAAATTAACTTTTACATATTTCTGTCCAAGAACCATCTAAAGATCAGTTTTGAGGTTCCCAGGGAAAATCAAGACTCTCTAAGTTATATTTGTGTTTCTCTTATGTACTTGAAGGGTGGTAAAGGTTTATATGCAATGCCTGATTAAAGCCAAAATTGCTAAGTGACACATGAATTTTGCAGAAAAGCAAGCAAGATGTGTGAATTTGTGAGCCAGCGTGAAGTGTGATTTGCAGCCTAAATTATACCTGACCTGAGTATGTTTCCTTTTTTTTTAAAAAACCACAAGATTTCCTTGATACTGTGTATGCAAAAGGAGAGATTTGAAGCTTTCCCTTTTATCCAAGTGACAGGTGTAATTTTTTAAACTTAGTGTGTGAAACAGGATCAAGACCTCCACCCTGCCACCCTACATTTGCATATCATAAAATATTTAACAATTTACTGATCCACTGAATGTCTGTTCCTGGAAATGGTTTGAATTTTTTTTGTTGACTGAGATCCTGAGTAATAAGATGATTTATTTATTGATTGAGTGCTTGCTTGATTAAGTGATTGATTGCTTGTATGACCAATTACTTGCTTGATTGATTAATTGATAGATTGATTAGTCAATTGGCTGATTGAATGATTGATTGATTAATTGTTAGATTGATTGATTAACTGATTGATTGATCAGTTGATTGTCTGATAGATTGACTGATTAAATAATTGATAAGTCAATTAGTTGATTAATTGATTTGTTGATTGGTTAATTGAAAAATCAATCAATAGATTGATTGATTTATTGAATGAATGATTTTGAACAGAATGCTGATATAATGATCCAAGGACTTCTTCCAGAAAAATTTACAGGGGCCAGCATAGAACTTGCCGCATATCTCAAAGGTTTGCATTTGAAAATTTGGTTTGCCTTTATAATTCTCCCTTACCATTGATCTACACCCTATACTGAGGGAAGTTTGTTCTCTAGGTTTATTCATCCAAATGCTATATAGTATTGCATAAAGGCTGTCTCAGTTGTATAGGGGGTATCAAGTTTACCAGTCTGTGACTATGATGTGTTTTTTACCCTTATTAACCCCTAGATCCCTCAGAGGGACTAGCTTCTAATTTCTCCCTACAATATCATCTATGGATCACATGTCAAAGTCATGAGAATATAGGAAATGATCACCAACTAATTGATTGATTATTCTTGATTGTTAAACAAATTCTCCTTGTCAGCACCTTAAAAAATGTACAAAGTGTAGAAAACAGCATGGAGAAAATGAATACTGATGTTGGGGTGTAAAGGGTTGAATAAGCCTAATCCATATTTACTCTTACATTATTAAATGAATAATGTGGGTAATTTCACTGTGTTATCATTACAAAGGAAAAGTGTTTTGCCCAACTTTTTTTTCTTGCTTTAAATGGTATACATGGAAGAACCCCACAGTATTGAGGTGAATCTCTGTTGATATTCTGCATTGCTTTGTAGATGGTTTTGGAAATAAAACAAGAATAGACTATGGAACAGGTGTGTATATGTTATTAGTTGGTGTGGATTTGTCTGATGAAAATTGAGGAAAATTAGAAGCTTAAAAATTGATATTAATCTTTTCCCACAGGTCATGAGGCTTGTTTTATTGCATTTCTATGCTGTCTGTTCAAACTCAGAGTGCTGGATCAAAGTGACTGTGCTTCAATAGTGTTCAGGGTGTTTCAAAGGTAACTTTATACTTTGTCAAGTGACAAATGGACATACAGTATTTGAAAGGTGGGCGGATTCTTTGAAAATGGTAGTTTGGTGAAAAGGTCATGGTTATTCATTGTAGTGAATACACTATTAGTATTACCCAAAGATGTGTCTTGATGTAGTCACTTTTGATGTTGATTTTACTGATTTGTGTGTGAACTGTTAGTATATAGGCAGTTAGGTTGAATGGACACTTATAACCTTGTGAAATATTGTACTTTACTGTGACTGGCTGATATTCAGTAACTGTGATACATGTAGATTCCTTTTGAAGACATCTTAGCTATTCTATGCCTTACTGGTTGTTGTGCTTCTTGATCTTAGATATCCATGGATTTCTGTTTTGTTGTGTAGACAAGAAGACAAGACACTTTAAAGAATTCCATATTTTTTAATCTACACTGCAAAGGAAAACTTTTGAAGGAAACATTGTTAGAATTAATTTAGCTTAATAATGATTCTCTTCTCACCTTCCAGGTATTTAGAACTGATGAGAAGGCTTCAGTCAACATACAGAATGGAACCAGCAGGCAGCCAAGGTGTCTGGGGACTAGATGATTTCCAGTTTGTTCCATTTATTTGGGGGAGCTCTCAGTTGATTGGTTTGTATCATTGATATATTATATTTGAGGATCTTTCTTTTTTTTCTGTGGTTCAAATCACATTTTCCTTTATATTTATCTATGATTATTATATTTTTTATTTTGTAAAATAAAAAATTGAAAAAACAGGACCAAAAATAAATATATGCTATTTACTGGGCAGGAGGTTTGTTTAGGAAACAACTGTACTCAAGACCAAGGGCACATTTTTTCCATGTATACCAACTTAGATCAGTAAAGAAGCTCTTATTTTTGAATTGTTTTTATTTGAAAATCTGGACATTGTGCAATAAGATAAACACATGAAAACATTTCCTTCACTTGTGTGTTCACATTGGAAACATATGATATCCGCTACATGTACAGGATACATGACAGGAAGTTTAACCTCTAGAACATCTAATCCTTGAAATCTCCATTACAGAACATGCCACTGGACTATTCAATTAGGCATTTTTTCGGAGTTCTGCCTTATTTATTAAAATTCTCCATCAAAACAGCAAATTGTTACAAGGAATTAAGGAAATCAAGGCATTCACTGATTTAGCCAGACAGTTCAGTTAATAGTGGAATTCTTTACTTGTCTTTGAATAGAATGGCCTGAGAAGCCAGTAAAGGATTTGTAAGATAGGTTCATATACATTTATGTAGTTCCTCCTTACAAAAGACATTGGGCAATAAAATAAGCTATCATGGTTGTGGAGTGCTGCTGATATTTCTGAAACAATTTTTCCTGTAGATCATCCAAGTTTAGAACCAAAGGACTTTGTTAAATCTTCTGTTGTGGAAAGTGATCACCTTGATTACATGTTCTTTGGCTGCATCAAGTTTATAAATGAGGTGAGAAAGTCTCTATTATCATTTCTGTTACAGGTTTCATACCAGTATGTCAGTTTTAACTCTGGTTATCAGTCTTGTTCAAGTAGTGAACCATTCTGTTTTTTTGTTGAATTTCCTTTGCATTCTTTACAATGGAGTTTGGATTTGAAATAGTAAGGTCATGTATATTGGGCCATACTGGAGCTTAGATAAAATTTGCTAAAATAAACAAGAACAGAATGAAAAACAACAGTTTTTACAAGATATATTAAATGAAAGACAAGCTTTTATGTACTACGTGTATTTCATGCACCATCTCCTAAATCTATACAGTTTTTTCTTATTTTCTCCATCACTTCCCATCAATTATTGAAATCACACGTGACTAGGCAAATTAAATCTCACCAAACTTACTTTACTTTAAATGTCAACCTCAAGCCTGCTTTTTTTCCTGGCATGTAAAATCTAATGTAGCCCCCAGAGTAAGACCATACTGGAAAGCGGTTTGAAAATGTCCATTTGTTTTCCTTTTCCTTTTGTTTCTTTCTCAACAAACCAGATGAAAAGTGGACCTTTTGCAGAACATTCTAATGTTTTATGGGGTATCAGCTCTGTTAAAATATGGGACAAAGTAAATTCTGGCCTGATAAAAATGTACAAAGCTGAGGTATGTGGACTGTCATTTAACTATCTCTTCCTAATTACACTCTTTTGTGTCAAGGAGAGAGCACCCCAGGTAACTAAGAGTTGAAAACTGATTCCTGGAAGGGTATTAGCTGCAATATCCTAAGGTTGTTCTTTGTTATGGCTCTGTGAGCCTTTTGTGTTCTTCATCTCTTGTTTTTTTCATTAGCAATAATAAATAAGAATTAACTGTTGGTTGCAAGATTCAAAGTTCAAACTTGTTGAACAATGATGAAAATTATAATGTTGAATTTCAAAAGTGAAACAATTATAATTATTATTATTATTATTATTTATGAGATTTCTTTTTTTTAATTTGGCCTCATTATATTTTGACAGGTCCTATCAAAGTTTCCTGTTATCCAACACTTTGTGTTTGGGACGTTATTATCTTTAGAAGAAGCAGAAGTATTTAAGAAACCTTTGTAAAAAAAATTGTAAATATTTATAGAGCAATAATTTTGACATTATTATTGTTTTATTTATCATGTTTATATGGAGCTGATAACAATGTAGGTAAAATTTAAGGTGATCTTTAGAAGACGTCACTATCTTTAAAAAAATTCCATAATCATGCAAAGGCGTTGGTGTGAAAAAATCAGTAATATTTGTTCGTGTGTGGAACTTTACTGTAACCTGTATGTATCTCAGTCCCTTTCAATTGCACGTTATGTATCTTCATATTCAGGCAATTGCTAAGTCATTGACAGCTCTCTCCATGACTTCATTTAACTGCCTACAAAGATAAGTGGTACGATAGAGTTTCTGTTGCTGTCAGCACATCATTCCGCAGAAACAGTCAGAGACAACAATTCGAAACAATGCACGACTCACTGCAGTTCATGCATGCGTTACCCACTCTCACGACGAGAGAAAATAGTACAAACTAGATAGTCTCTTTAATAGCGTTTCTGTTTGTGGTTAAGCACGGGAAGTTTTGATAGACGGATGCAAGAACAGCACGAAGGTTGGCGATAAGGAAGCTTGCGCCTTACGGGTCGACATACTTTTATTTATTCCGAAAATTCAGTTCCCAGACGACCAGCCATGCTGATTTCAAACACTTACTTACAATTTGTTCAGTTTACGCATCGACACTGACAGTTTGTATCTACGGCCTTAAGTTTGGGGCTGTTAAGTTTGGAAAAAGGAAAGTAAAACTTTAAAAAGCGTTTCATGTGCTTGTTTTAAATATTAAAGAATGATTCACATCCTCTCTTTGTACTAAGGCCTCACAGTGAATCCATGGTGGAGCTTTGAGCTTGAGCACACGCAAATCCCTAAATTATGGTTGCCTGCGACACTAATGTATGCAGTTGATCTACATGTTGCGTCTATCATGGTATTTACAGTTTTGAAATTTCCGAGCTAATGTTGAGAATTGCAAACTGTCCTCCTACTTCGCCTTTTTAAAGCAAAAACAAAGATAAAAAAAGTAGTAACAAAAAAAGTTTGTTACATTTCATAATTTAGCTGAAAAAGTTCGACCGTAGCATTAGTCATGTTGTGTTGTGCATCCGGCTCAGAACTCCACGCAGAGCGGAACTCCTTAGGAAATTCCAGCTGAATTGCGTCGATTTCTCCTCCATCTCTCTCGTCTAGCGGAGAGGGAACAGCAGCCAGGCCTCCGTGATTAGTGAAGTGGCCTAGACTTCGATGGCCTTGTACAACATCTTGAAAGCAAACTTCGTTGCTTTCGCACCAGTATCCCTCGAGGCTTCTTATAGAGGTACTCGCTATTTTGTAGGATCTGTCTACGAGCTGGAATTTGGAAATGTGATAGCCTAGCTCTGTCCTTTGAGGTGTGCGTACTTGGCCGTGGATATCCAAGAGTAAACCACGCCCTGAAATGGCTAAATTTGCTTTGCAGATGAGTGTAATGGCGTCTGGGATATTTAAAGTTGCTTCATTGATTTCTCTGTTGGCATCCAGTTTTTTTCTCTTCAACAAGTTGTACACAACATGTGTTCGAGTACCTATTGTGAAAACAATTTACAAACATCTCGGAACTCAGTATTGTAACTCAAACTAATAAAACTTCAATTGTTAGATTGTCCACTGAGAAGATCAACTGAACGATAAAACAATCAAGCAAGGCATGATATGGAAATTACAGTAATGCAAGAAAGCACCGCAAAAAAAGGCCTCCCCAAGAAACTGACCCGAATAGTGTCGGTGCAGAGCAAGTGTGTTTTCTTCTGGGCGAATACTCAACTTTGTGATCCACCAGAATTATTGAATTGGGGAGATCGCAAAATGTTGGAGAGCGGAGTAGATAAATCTATTTGTGCGATTAAAAAACTGGGTTATCCGTTCTTGGCTTTCGTAAATCTTACAAATCCAGTAAACTGGCTTCGAATTCAACACACGATGGGTAGATTGTGCACTTGCTTGCCAGATCGTACGCCTGTAGTGTAGGGGTACCAGTAATAAGATCTTGGTTCTTGCTCTAATGCATACTTAATGCATCTGAGCACTCAACGACTGTAACTACCATCGGAGAAGGCGTTACCCTGATATTTGTACATTCCGTTTGAGAAAAAAGTGCATCATTACATTTGAATTACCTTATATTATCTATATTACCTTATATTATCGGTGTTTTGCTTTTTTAATAGATTTCTACCACTGTAATTAAAATAGCATGTTTGTGTAGTCCACATGATTAGAAACATTTTCAAATCAACTCTAAGTTGGAATTCTGTTTGTAAAAATTGTCGAAGAAATCCGAGAAATAATGTAACATATTCCTTCTCAGACACTCTGATTCATAGATTACCGTCGTACACCACTTTCTAACCCTGCTGACAACATATGGAGAAATGCACTTACGTATGTGTAGTACGTATGTAGTATACCGAATGTATACACGAGTTTCATGCACAAGCGAATTTCGAATATTTTATGTGTGCGAAGATTTTATTTAGCTCACGCTCACGTATTTACAACAACATTTATAGTTACATGTAATTTACTATAAAGTTATGCCAGTGGGATAGATTGTAAATTAAAGAACAGTATAAGCGACAGGCCGTTTTCAGCTAAAAACACGTCGACAGAGCTGGCATCTTTGTAAACAGCGGAGGTTTGTTCACTTAACAATAAAGTAGGGTAGTGTTTAAGTTAAAATTGATATATTTAAATAAATCAAAACAGAAGTAGAGACCAAACACGTCAAGTTTTGTCCCAATAGCGTGCGATTTGCAGTAGGAGTACAGCAAGAAAACGGCCGAACTCCGTGAAAATGCACGCTATATATTTTGGTCAGGCACGCTCGCTTTTCACAGGCCAAACATAATATTTTTACATGATAAACACGAATAATTTCTCGTTGAAAAGAGCTCTTTTATTTTATGTACATTCGTATACCCACGATGTTATGGTCGTCTGAAATATGGCAAAATTCAGCGTACAAACGGAATAGAAAATATAGTGTACTTTACGCGGGTGGTTACAAACGAAAGAAAGTTCAGTTGGAGATGAAATATAGTTGCAAAGCTACTCCAAGGGATGAAAAACAACTTATGAAAAAATTAATCCAAGATAATTTTTCGTTGTCTTGTACGAGCGTTGTGAAAATGCTCTGAAAGCCCGATGAAATTATGCAAATTAGTACGTTTTGGCCGATTTCGAACTCTTTTGCCAAAATAAAAACTCGCTGGAACTTTTGAATATTATTTTTGAAAACAGTTCACCAAAAGTGTCTTTTGGAGCAAATAAAAAAAGTCGAATTTTTGCTTCTGTAGCCGGATTCTTTAAAATTACTGACAACCTCTCTTAAATTGTATAATCTGATAGCTCTGAAGAGTCTACCAACTCATTACTGCGGTGCGGTTGGCCAATTAATAATTTTATTAAAACTTTAAAGTATGGAACAACTGAAGCGAAAACAGGAACTCTTAAACAATAGTTCATTTATGTTTTTATGCTCACGAACGTACCTCAAAGGGCTAATGAAAAAGTCATTTTGCACAGAGACTCACTGAGAAGTATTGAACTTAAAATCTTATTGAAAAGTTGATAAAAGTTGAAAAACTTGTATTGCGTATTACCGACTTGTCTTTAACCCTTTAACTCCCAAGATCTGATTGTTAATTCTTCCTTCTAGCTTCAAATCATTCCCTTCAGAATTAGTTACGAGAATTTAGTAATAGATCAAGATAACAACTTCTACATGTCTAAGTTTGAGTATTCTCATTATCTGCTTGCTCGCTAATGTATGGATATTATAGGGAGAAGTTACATGTTGATCACTTCTGGGAGTTAAGGGGTTCAAGAGAAGGCATATGTCAACAGGCAAATAATTTGTAGCGCTTTACTACTACGGAATGATAATTTCACGATAGAGAGGAACATTTCTTGGTACCGGCAATTCGGAGCGTTAAAACGAATTCGGTTTCGAGCGGTTTAAACGTCGGAAAAGTTCCATCAAAATTAAAAGAAGAAGTCAAAAAGCACTTAGCAACGGGCTGAAAATTTTAAAATATTACGTGACCGATGTAATGTGAATGTGGAAAAATTCTTCAGGTTGGTACGTAATAAAACGCCGGAAACCACAACGGAAACACAAGATGTGAGTAAGTTCTAATGATTTTACGTGTAAAATGTTCATTTCTCGAAATATTTGTCGTTGAAAATCGACCGGCGTATTTCGTTCCCCATACTATTCCTTATAACGTCTCCAAATTCTCAACGGTTCCTCTCGTAGCTTAACACCAAGTCACACAACGCTTGAGGCTTTCATGAATCGATCGTTCGCTTTTTCTCGAAATGTGAGCTTGGGACACCTGTGCTGCATTCGGCTTAACTTTTTAAAAGTAGTTTGTTTTCTTGAAAGAGGGTTATAAATTTTTATTTTAGACCCATGGGGTGACAGGCGAAAAACGAAATTAGAATTCGTTTGAGCGAATTGCACTGGGTGTCAACCAGAGCCAAAGGGCTCAGAATGGCCAACAGAACTCAAAGGAAGAAAGGGTTAGCTCCTTGAAGCGCGGGAAAACGCGTGCGACCAAATTGCGATCGGTTTTGGTTTTGTTTCTGATTGGTCAAACTGTGGTAAACCGGGAGGTAAAACCGTGGTAGAATCCAGTCTCGCTCTTTTAATTAACACTATCATGAACGACAACAAATAAATGCAATATCAGCAGTGAAAAAAGAGGAGAAACTTACCGAATTGGCTCTGTTTTACGGCAAAGCGAAGTGAAGACTATTCCATACAGCGACTACGCCATGTAATGGTTTCGTGTCAGTCTTCACATTTGATGACGTCATGCCCCCAGCAGATCGCTGTTCCATTTGCGGTTTGTATTTTTGGTGGTTTCGGCGAGATGCCTTTCTTCGTTTTTCGTTTTCCATACTATTCCTTATAACGTGTTCAACGGTTCCTCTCGTAACTTAACATCAAGTACACTACGCGTGACGCTTTCAGGAATTAATCGTTTGCTTTTTCTCGAGACATGAGCTTGGGACGCCTTTGATGGCACACAAGAGAGGAAACGTAACAACAGGAACTTGTTCGTTTTGGACCACAGCACTGTGAAAGAAACGTGAGGTCACGAAAATTAAGAAAATCCGGGATCATTTGCGGTCCGGGATCATTTGCGGTCCGGGATCATTTGCGGTCCAATTTGGGGATCATTTGCGGTCTGGGATCATTTGCGGTCCTGGGATCATTTGCGGTCCTGGGATCATTTGCGGACTCGTACAGCCCTCCATAATTCCTGTGACGTCACGTTTTCCTGGCAGTAAGGCACCACAGGCATTCCAAGCTCACGTCTTATGAAAAAGCAAACGATTAATTCATGAAAGCGCCAGGAGTTGTGTGGCTCGGTGTTAAGTTACGAGAGGAACTATGGCGTAACATACCGTTCAAAATTCAGTCATATGGCGTAACATACCGTTCAAAATTCAGTCAGGGTATTTTCCCTATCGAAAAATTAATTTTCGTGTCGGAAATCAATTAACAGGGTCCGTTATTGTTGGCCTCTTTCAGACCTCCTCATTGTCTGCCATTTCCCGTGTCTGATATTATTTTCCGAGCCTGATATTATTTCCCATGTCTGTATTTACTATCTAAATGGATTTCGACTTATCACCGTATGGCGTTGTGGTTTCCGGCTTTCTCTGCGGTTTTAAGCTTGTATAGGAAACCACAACGGACAAAATGTTCATATCGACCATATTTCGTTTTCCATACTATTCCTTATAACGTGTTCAACAGTTCCTCTCGTAACTTAACATCAAGTAAGACAAATTTCGGACTCGACGATTGTAACGAATAATTTAAGGACTCGAGCATTAATATAAAGCACGGTGATAAGTCGAAATCCATTTAGATAGTAAATACAGTAAAAAACCAATTTTATCAGCCAAGCAAAATTGGCCATTCCAGGGCGTGGCTTTCTCTTAGACATCCACGGCCAAACACATCAACCTGAGAGGACGGAGCTGGGATATCTCATTTCCAAACGCCGGCTCGTGCGCAAATCCTACAACATGAAGTACACTTCCATCAGAAGCCTTGGGGAATACTGGTGTAAAGGCAACAACACTTGCTTTCAAGATTTCGTCCAAGGAAATCGAGGTCTTGGATATTTTATGAATCAAGAAGGACTGGATGCTGTACCCTCACCACTTGACGAGGACCCAGAGGGGGAAAAATTTTTCTATGGCGGATATACGACCAGGCGCTACGGATCAAGATATGGAGGGAAAATTGACGCCATTCAGCTGGAACTGCCGATAGGGGTTCGTTACAAGTGGAATGGTGATGATGCTTTGAAAAATGCTTTTGCTAAAGCTATCGTCCAATTTTATCAGACGAATTACGACGTGTAAAAAAGCTGAAACGTTTTGTTTCGTGTAATTTGTAAAAGGATCCTTCCGTAGTTAATAAACTCCTTATTTACACTACTTTCAACTTTTTCTTTGTGGGAAGTGAGGGAAGGGGCGGGGGAGGCCAAATGTTTACAGTGCTTAACGCTTGAATAAACTGACAAATTTCGTCTATCACAGCTCAAACTTGTGAAAAAAAATCGGTAATTGGAGCAAGTAATGAATGTCTTCCGCATACATTAAAACTTTCAGGATAGGATAACAACGACGTTTTCCTAGTGAAGTGAAATTTACTACAATTGAACAGATTTTCTTTTTCTTATACGTTACAATATAGAAATAATTTTTATTTGTTTTAACGGTTTTCAAATATGGTGGTCACTTTCGTTTAGTCATGTTTCGCCGACAAATATGCCACAACATTCTAAATTCAGTTTACCTACTCTTACGACTACTGTAGCTCGTTGCACCGTGAGGTTGGTCACTTAATTAATAATAAATAACTCAAAGCCCAAGTTTATTTCTCCTTGTGTGATAGAATCAGCACTTTTTATTCATTTTGCGTATTTTCAACTTGTTTTTCCCTTCATGAGAGAGTGTTAATGCACTATTATCACGCCTTTTTTCCTTCACCGGTAAATTACAGTGCGTCATCATCATCTTTGTGTTCTTTTGTTACCCTCCCATCGTAAGAAAATAACGATCAATTATTCATTTATTCGAGCAATTTCAAAATGAGACCTCAAATATTTCACTATTCATTACAGAGATCTATTCCCTTCAATGATACCAGTCTTAAATTAGATCTTTTCGTGTGTCAGAGTATTTACTGGACACATGCATAGTATTCCTAGTATTGAATTCAGTTATATCTTAGTTGATGTCTAACAAAGGTGATATTAAGGTGGCACTGAAAAAATACTTCGTCGGCAAAGACCAAATGAAATTCAAAGTTGAAATCTTTTAATTAGATTGATTTTCTTTACGTCAAAAAAAACATTGCTGAGTAACTTCGACTCACGCCACCTTCAAACAATGACTTTGAAGAGCTAGTTTAATAACTTAGAGAAGGCTCATCACAACTAAGATGACAACAGCTTGGCATCTTACAAACGACTTGCAAAAAAAATAATAACTATTCACCAACGGACCAAAGAAAACAAACCAACCTTACCGACTGATCAAAACTGACTAATCAATGGACGATGGCCATTTGAGTCTGATAATCACCTTACTGCAAAACTGACAAATCACTTTCAAAAACCAAAGTTGTAACATTGGACTTTGTAAACAATTGTTCACACGGCTCTGTTGACTTCTGCTCAGGCCATTCTACTGTTCCCGACAACAAACCTTTTCGGGAACACTTTCACCCGCGCGATCATACTTTAAGGTTGACAACTGAATGATAACAGGTGAAAACGTTGACCAAAAACATACAATTGTTTCGATTGAAAATTCATCAGTCGGTATCAACTGTGTTAAAATGGAAGTTTAGCAACTTTTATTCAAAAAGCGAAGTATTTTGTTTGCACAAACGAAGCAAGAATTTGTACCACACTGAAATCTTATATTACATCCGTTACTCCTGGTGAACCACTCGGCTCTTGTGGTCCTGGGTACTATCAAACTTGACAAACTTTTTTGAAAGTGAGTCATTAAAAACAGCCAAGTGAAGTAGGTAGAGTGTATTTCTGATTTAAACAAGATTTCCCACACTATGAGAACATTATGACTGGTCTTTTGAATTCAGAAACATAGTTCAATGTCTTATAAAAATATTTCGATGAATCCTGTGATACATTTGAGACTGGCGGCTTTAAGATCTTTTACTTCGAAAAAGACATGGCAGGCTAGAAGCCTATAAAAAATGATTGGTTAAAAAACAAACTTTAAATTGAACAAATTGATCACAATTTGGTTGGATACTCTATAGTTTGCTGCGCTGCTTTTTCATTAGGAACCTTCCATACATCATCTTGTGCAAAAAAAAATAAGTATAAAAAATTTTTTTAGCCAGAAATTATTTTGAAAGAAACGAAACGGAATTTTTTAGAGTGTTTTTGACTTTTATTATGAGTGAAAAAGAAATTGGCGATTACTTTTCAATGCTTTTTGCACGAGTTGCTGTCGGATTATTTTTTGGCGGGAAATACTCAGGGAAGTCTTGTTAATTTTTGCCAAAAAGAGTCGCCAAGGGAAATTCAAATGTGCAAATTGGTCCAAATTTCCCGCCAAAAGTCTTAAGTTTATACAGGAAAAGTTTTTCTTGGCACCTTTTTATCAATTTAATTTAAAATTAGTTAATTAATTAGCTTACAGACAAAAACAAAAGAATTTTTTTTAATATGAAACTTTTGGTGTTTATTGAGTGTCAATAAAAGATGACACAAAAACTGATGACTTTATTGACTTTCAAATAGTAGATGTGAATAATCAAGAAAAAAAACAAATAAATAGTTTATTAGCGAAGTATGATATATTTGGACTTAATTTTTTAAAAATTGGTGCATGCGTATTTTGGCGGGAAAATTCGCCACATTTGAACAGATTTTACTAACAGAGTAATTTGGCGTAATTATTCTCTAATGAATGGCTTTGCTAAAAGTTATGAAATCAACCTGTAAATTTCATAACTTCGTTCCCAGTGAACATCTTTCAATCATTAAACTTAAGACTATTTTACTTTGTTGTTCTGCCAGTGTTAACCCTCTAACTCCCAGAAGTGATTAACATGTATCTTCTCCCTATAATATCCATCCATAATTCAGAAAATAAGTAAAGATAAAACTCAAAAGCATCAGGTTAAAATTGTTGTCTTGATCTCACACCAAATTCTCATAACTAATTTACAAGGAAATGTGTAGCAGCTAGAGGGGAGAATTGACAATCAAAGAATGGGAGTGAAAAGGTTAAGCAAAGCCATTTGCTACTGAGTCACCGAGATTTGGATTAAGGTGGCAGTAAATACTTTACAGTTTCTGTGCTGGGGTGAATAAGTACAATTATAAAATAATTCAAATGGTACGCGCGCTCTGATTGGCCATAAAACCATTTTACATGAGCGTATGTAAACACGGTTTTCGTTCCTCTTTCATCAGTTATTTTATAAAAGAAATGTAAAATGGTTTCCGTATTTACATAGCCTGATGTAAACACTTGGGAGGTTGGGAGAACACTCTTTAAGCTAGAAACCACTCCGCTTCGCGTCGTGGTTTCCTTCGCTTATCTCGTGTTCTCCCAACCTCCCGCGTGTTTACATCAGGCTATGTAAACACGGAAACCATTTTACGTTTTTTCACTAACAAATTAAGTCGGATTCAAAATATTCAACACAGGAATAGACTAAAAAGTGCATAATGAATATAACTTACATATAAACTGGATCCCCAAACCAATGTGTACACTTGAATAGAATCTTTTATTTCTACGAGCAAATGGTACTCTCCTTTTTCCCCATCCACGATGTTCCCTATAAGAAATTAAAAACCACTTTGAGATTTAAGAATGAATTCCACAAATGGAGACATATTAAATTTTAAAGCATGCTCTTACAATTTTTTTTCAGCCTCAAGAATTCAAACAATTAATAATTGGACCCTACGATGTTTCTAGAATCACGTCCAATAATTTTTTCATCATTTGATGATAAACTGTTGAAGAACCTTGAAATATAAACGTCAAATTTTGGAGCCTATTTTTTTAAATTTGGTCTCGGTCTTACGAGTTCAGGAATCTCCAAAATTTTCATTGAATCACGTTCAGAAAAGTTCGATCCGAGTTGCCTATAAACAAAATTAAAGAGAAAAATATAAATTTTTTACTATTTCGATTGCTTTCAGCCTCAAGTACTCAAATTAAAAAACAATGGGCTGAAGTACTGTAATACACCGAGCTGATGAACTGCTGTTGAAGCAATTCGAGAGGCAAAACTCAACTTTTGATCTTACTGTTCGAATACTGTTAGAATGAAATCAAGCTTTCTATTAGTTGGAGGCAAATTAAGAAACAAACCTCAATTCAGGGAACATAATTTTCCAATTTGTTTTTAGCCCTAAGACCTCACACATTTTTAACGTTAGTCTCTAAGATTTTCATTGAGAACACGGTGAAAAAAAAAAGGTTCTATGTTAGGTGATGATAAACTCAGGAAGCAACAGAAACAGTTCACTGCCTTCAAAGTTAACGCCTTTTTTAACATCTTATGACCCTCGTTCTGGCATTTTATTTTACCACAGCTACAGAGTACCTTGGAAGAGAATTCCATGGCACAGTATCTGTTGTAAGCGCTCCTTTTTATACCAGTTCAGTTTTGAATAAGATTTTCATCCCAACAAATTTAATGTTCTGTTCGTGGCCTTGGGCAGCATTATTTCTATCTGAAGTTCACAAATGTAGTAGTCTTTATGTGAAACCAGGCTAGTTTCAGACAATCATTTTGATGCCAGCAGGAAGTAAAATGTAATATCAACAATTTCAAGTTCTTGGATGAGTCCTTTGGTAGATATTAATCCTTAAACCTTGCAAAATGTCTGTTCTTTGTCAGTAAGTAATCTTTTTAAAAAGATCTAAGTAAAGTTGTGTCATCGATACCATTTGAACAATTAATCCCTAAACTTAGAACTTGAAGTTAATTTGAAAGACTAAACCGTTGCTATGGTAACTTGGTAGGTCCGGTGGAGAGTGATAACATGCATAATGATAACAAGGTAATTAATTGACACTGGTGACACAGACAAAAAGTATTCATGGTAGAATTAATTCGTCAAACGAGCATTGCTGAAAGCAACTGATGCCACCTCAATCGGAAAGAGCTCCACGAAATTAGACAGTGAAGAGATTGATTCATTACTTAATTTGAAGTTTTCCTCATTATTGACAGAGCTAGTTTTAAACTGCAAATATTCTGTAAATTTGGGTCAAATCATTTAACGCAGACGAATATTCCTTGATAGCTAATTTCTTATAAAAAGCCTATCATCTGACCTTGTTAGACTTAAGTCACGTTCAAGAAGAACTGTCATGCCGGTTGCCACCGAGGATTTGTCCTATACTGTGCTATGAGCAGTATGCTCATC